AGGGGGCCCGCCGGGGCGGCCGGACGGGGGCGGGCCCCGGGCCCGGACCGAGGCGTCCAGCCTCCACAACGAGCGCGAGAGGGTCGGCCTCGGGCCTGAGCCGGGGACAGACGGACAGGTTGAGCCTGAAGCAGCTGGCCTCGGAGCGGAGACAGAGCGGCCCGGCCAAAAGACGGAGCCAGACATATCCAGCCTCCGGACAGGTCCAGAGAGGAGCAGCCACTGGTCAGAGCTGGAGACAGCCGGTCCCTGGACGGAAACTGGGACGGATGGCTTTTGGACTGGGCCACACAGGTCTGACCTCCAGTCTCAGCCAGAGAGGGCCAACCTCCGGACGCAGCCCGGAGTTGATGGGCCCCGGACAGAGGGAGAAATACATGGGTCACAGACCCAAGCAGAGAGGGCCACGACCTGGGCTGATAACCTCTGGACCCATAAGAACAGGTCCAGCCTCCGGACTCAGCCAGAGGGGGCCTGTCCCTCAACAGAGCCAAGTGCTGATGGCTCCCAGATACAACAGGATGCGAAAACAGCCTGGGAACAGGTTGGCACTGATGGTTTCCCAACACGGCAAGATACTGTTGGCTCCTGGACACGGCCTGGCACTGATGGTCCCCAGACACAAGATACTCACGGACCCCAGACAGAACCTGGGACAGACTGTTTTTTGGGGGAGTCCCAGCAGGATGGCCAGTTAGAGGAACCAGAACCTGGGGAGTTGGGGACTCACCTATACTCTCACCTGGAGTGCAACTCCCTGACCCCTGTGCCCCGCCTCATCATCACTCCTGAAACACCTGAGCCTGAGGCTCAGCCAATGGAGATGGGACCTCCCTCCCGGGCTGAGGGGGGCAGTGGTGGCTTCTCCTCTGCCTCCTCTTTCGACGAGTCTGAGGATGATGTGGTGGCCGGGGGCGGAGGTGCCAGCGACCCCGAGGACAGGTCTGGGGTGAGTGGGAACCGTCCTGCCCTTGAGCCACATCCCCACAGGCCCCTTAGCCCAACCCCCCTGCCTTTGCTTTGAGAAGTTCTCTAGCACCACGAACAGTTTCATCTCCAGGTACCTCTTCCATCTGCCGACCTCCTTCCTCTGACAGCCACGTTACCAACCCACTCCCGGCACCCTCCTAATCCTTTCCTTTTCTCCTCCCCGACTGACTCCAGTCCTGGGGTCTAAAATAGACAGCCACTGGCTGACTTAATGGTGCCCAGGAACTCCTGAAATTGGGTGATCGTGTGAGTCTCTGTGCATATACACACATATTTTTGCAGTGAGTGTGTATGACTTCTGTCGGATCTTCTAGGAAGTATGTAACCTCAGAATCTGGAGAGCTCTAGTATAGGAGGACAGAAAGGGTGGCACTTTTTTTTTTTCCTAAAGATTTTATTTACCTATTTGACAGAGAGAGACACAGCAAGAGAGGGAACACAAGCAGGGGGAGTGGGAGAGGGAGAAGCAGGCTTCCCGGGGAGTGGGGAACCCAATGCGGGGCTCGATCCCAGGACCCTGGGACCATGACCTGAGCCGGAGGCAGACGCTTAACGACTGAGCCACCCAGGCGCCCCAAGGGTGGCACTTTTTACCCCCAGTTTTTAGCCTAGGGCCTGTGGCTGTCTTCAGGGGTCATGAACCTTTACCACCCTTTAGCCATTCGCTTTTGTAGGGAGTGAGCCCCCCAGCTTTTATCAGATTCTCAAAGGGCTTTGTGAGCCCAAAATGCTAAGGACCCCCAGCTTGGCCAGGGAACTTCTGGTCTCCCCATTGCCCCCCAGCTCTCCAGGGGGCTCCCTGCAGACTCTTGTTTACATCCTCTACCCTCACCCCCAGCTTGGGTGTGGTTCTTCCCTGGTGAATCAGGAGGGCTGGGCAGTGGGCAGGTTCAGGGAGGGTCAGCACCGAGGCAGGTGTGAGAGCCTCGAGTGGGTTGGCCTGCTGGGTCCTCCCATTCTCCTGGGGCCTCTGGCCGGAGTTGGCCCTGAGCCCCCTTCACCCTGCATGCCTCCCTTAGGAACGTGCTTACACATGTGGCCACAGGTGGAGACAGACCTGCCTAAACCTGCCTGTGCCAGAGCAAAGGAGCTGACCCTCTGGTCTTTCTGCCTTAGCTGTTTGCTCCACCTACTCTCTCACATTCTTGGCATCGCAGAACAGCTGATCTGGAAGGGAATGGGAAAAAAAAAAAATAGCAGCTAGCACTTGCTTATACCCAGCTCTGTACTAAGCTCCTCGCTCATATGAACTCATTTAATCCTCATGGCAGCCCTATGAGGTAGATACTGTTATTATTCCCATTTTATAGATGAGGAAACTGAGGCCCAGACAGGTCATGACACTTGTCCAAGGTCACACACTTTGGAAGACACAGAGCTGGGGTTCAAACCCTTGGAATACTAGGCACTTTTCTAAGTGTCGTATATGTGTTAACCCCGAATCCTCGTAACAGCACTCTGAGATTGGGATTATTATCATGTCCATTTTATAGATGAGGAAACCGGTTTAGAGAGGTTCGGTCACTTGCTTAGGGTCGGTCAAGCTTGGTTGGAGCCAGGATTCTAACTCCGTTCTGGCTGAGTTTAAAACTCAGTTACTTCAACCTCGGGGGTGTATGGGTGGATCCGTCCCTCACTTGCTTTCCTCCCAGACCTCCCTGTCTCCAGTTTTTCTTCATCCTTCCAGAATCTGCCTCCAAGACCCACTTCTGATCAACTTTTGAAACTTCCCTGCTTCCAGTGCCTTCCATGGCTCCCCGGGGCCTTCCAGATAGCCATCAGTAATTCAGTCCAGTGTTCAGAGCTTCCTGTCTCCAGGCTGCTTCCCATGTTCAGCTTCCCTGCTCCCCTCCTGACCACCTCCGCCGCCATGAAGCCCAAGGGCACAGCATCCTGCCTCCCCTCGTGTTCCTGCTGCCCAGAAAACAAACCCTTGCTTCCTTCTCGCTTAATTTTGAAATCCCATCCAACCTTAAAGTCCTACTACTTTCTTCCTTTCCTCCCCCTTTCCCTTCCTTCTCATGTCCATCCTGTCCTCCTAATCAGACAACCAACAGTCCCTGCGCCTCTGTTATGTGTCCCCCCTGTGTTGGCTTTTCTCGGCAGTGACTGAGACATTGCCCTCATGGGGCTCCCAGGCCAGTAGAGAAGACAGACCCATTACCATACAGAGAGGTCAGGGCTGGTATGGGGGAAACCGAGTGTTGTAGGAGACCATGGCGGGGGCGGGGGTGTGTGTGATTGGCCGCACCTGGGGTATCAGAGAGGGCTTCCTGGAGGAGGAGGATGGGAGAGGAGACCATCGTGAAACCATCTAAGAAAGCCCAGATTAACCATCAGGTCTAGGAAAGAGACAAGCTACTGAATCTGCTTAATGATAAAAGACCATTACAACTAACTTCTTCAATCTAAACGTTTTTGGTGCAGCCATGGTGTGCTAGGCCATGGGCTGGGGACACAGGCATAACCATGATAACCCCAATCCCTGCCTTCAGAGTTCATAGTCCAGCAGGGCGTATAGCATGTAAGCCCAGGGCAGTGGGTTCCGAGTTAGAACCCCAGCACTGTGCTGTGTGACTTAGGCAAGTGACTGCATCTCTCTGAGCCTCTGTTTCCTCTGGAACACAGAGGCAACAATCCTCCTGGGGTTGTGTTTTTAGGATTAAGTAGGTTATGGCTCACCGAGTCTTTGTCATTGTGCCTGGAATGTTCCAGGTGCTTAGTAAACAGGAACCTTTATTAATCACCTCCTCTCCCCGGCTGGCAGCTGGAGGATGGAAGGAATAGCCTTTCCTGAATCCTGCAGTCCCAACACCCTGTGTCTGCTTGACCTTCCCACCATCAATTAGATGTCTGCTGAGTAGCTGGGCTCTGAGCAGGTGGGAGAGAACATGGCTTTGACCCCAGGGTAGTGGGGGGATGGGCCACACAGCTTCCTTCTCTGGAGAGGACCCCTTCTCCTAATACCTGCCTAAGGGCCTGCCATGTGCTTGGAGCAGAGAATGTATTCATGTGTGTGCATGCGTGCTCATGCATGTGAATCAGATGTTGACCTGGTCTCAAGAACCTCTTGACTGAGTCAACCTGATACAACTAAATCTTTGTTTTCAGTTTGCTTTACTGGTTTTCTATCACTTGTTCTCTCTCTCTCTTTGCTTCTACTTATCTTTTTCTTTCCTGGCATTACTTTGTATCTGTGTCTCCCTTTCTGTCTTTCTATTATTTTCTTTGTCTTTTGGTAACCCTGTCTCTGTCTTAGTCAGGCTAGGTCATAGTTTGCTGTAGTAACAAACAACCCCCAAACTTAGTGACTTGGAAAAACACACGATTATTTTTGTTCATACTGCACATGGACCATGAGCCACTGGTGGGTGAGGGAGCTCTGCTTCATGCTGTCTTCACTCAAGGCCCAGACTGAAGAAGCTTCTATTTCTTTTTCCACACTCCCCACCCCCTTCTACAGCAGGGCAAAGGACACACAGAATCACGTACTGGCTTTCACGCTTCTGCTCACATTTCATTGGCCAAAGTAAGTCAGTAACCTAAGGTCAAGATGGCAGGGATGTCCCTGGAACGGGGAGGGGCTGGAGCCATTTGGTGAGCAGCTCTCATGACTGTCCCAGTCTCCATCTCCTGTGCCCATCTCTCTGTCTCTGTCATCACCTTGTCATCTGCTTCTGTTTCTGTCTTCCTCTGTGGTTCAGCCTCCGCTCATCAACTCCTACCTCTATCACCTTCTCCAGAAGGTCTGACTTGGTTTTGGGATGGAAGTGAGGTTTCCAGGTGTTTGGTGTGTGCCTGTGGAGGGGAAGACCTGGGGGGCTGCTTGTTACTGCAGCAAGACCTGGCCTATTTTTCCTCCTTTGAGAAGGACAGAGAAAAATGGACAGACTCCTCCCCACCTTTGCTGGGGCCTTTGGGGGATCTCGAGATGGCTGAAGTAGTGGGCTTTGCTCACCCCAGTGAGCTTGGGAGCAGCGATCCCAGGAAGCCCCCTGGCCCTGGAAAGACCCCTAGTCCACCTGGTTCCCCTCAGTGCAACACCCCACCCCCTTCCCTCCCCAGCCTTGGCACTGACCCCACCCTGCTCTGCCTCACACAGAACAAACCGTGGAAGAAGCTGAAGACGGTTCTGAAATATTCGCCCTTTGTGGTCTCCTTCCGAAAACACTACCCTTGGGTCCAGCTGTCGGGACACGCTGGTGAGAGCAGGGGTGCGGGGGACGGCAGGGGGCAGACAGGCTGGACAGACACCTGGGCTGGGGAAAGAAAGCTCCAGAGACATTCTCTGTAGTTCAGGTTGCCCCATCTGTCAAATGAGCTTGAGGACAGTCTCCACCTCATGAGGCTGTTATGGGACATGCTCAGGCCTTGGCCGGGCCATCTGTACATCAGGGCTGAGGGCTGTTCCCTATTGTCTCAGTGCCAGGGGAATGGGGAGCAAATCCTCAACCCTGGGCGAAAAATGGTTCTGGGCCCAAATCCTCTTTCTGCACTTTCTTTATGGGGGATCCTGGGCCAGTTACTTTCTCTCACTGGGCCTTGGTTTTCTCACCTGTAATATGGAGATAATCATACCTCCCTTGCAGGCTTAACCGAAGGGTTAAAATCAAAATGTATATAAACGGGGATACCTGGCTGGCTCAGTCGGTAGAGCATGCGACTCTTAATCTCAGGGTTGTGAGTTCAAGCCCCACATTAGGCGTGGAGCCTGCTTAAAATAAAAATAAAATATTTAAAAAAATAATGATAAACCAAAATGCCTATGAAGATTGAGACACGGCCCCTCATTAATGGAAATAATCATTCCTTGTTCTCTCCTCATGTCCAGAGTATAGTAGGCCCTCAAACAGCAGCTCTAATGGTTTTCCCCAGGCCCTCGCATGATGTCTGTGGCACGTGGTAGCACAATGCCCAGCACAGAGCATTTTCTGTAAAGGGCTGGATAATAAACATTCTAGGTTTTGTGGGCCGTATGGTCCCTGTCACAACTACTCAACTCTGTTGTTCTAGCATGAAAGCAGCCATAGATAATACATAAACACACGAGTGTGTCTGTATTCCAATAAAACTTTATTTACAGGGGCGCCTGGGTGGCTCAGTCATTAAGCGTCTGCCTTCAGCTCAGGTCATGATCCCAGGGTCCT